TTGGGTTGAAATGTGATGTGATGTGATGTGATGTGATGTGATGTGTTGAGTTGTGTTGAGTTGTGATGTGTTGAGTTGAGTTGAGTTGAGTTGTGATGTGTTGTGTTGAGTTGAGCTTTGTTGAGTTGTGATGTGTTGAATTGGGTTGAAATGTGATGTGATGTGATGTGATGTGATGTGATGTGATGTGATGTGATGTGTTGAGTTGAGTTGTGTTGTGATGTGATGTGTTGAGTTGTGATGTGATGTGTTGAGTTGGGTTGAGTTGTGATATGTTGTGTTGTGTTGTGATGTGATGTGTTGTTGTTGTGTTGTGTTGAGTTGAGTTGAGTTGTGATGTGTTGAGTTGAGTTGTGATGTGTTGAGTTGAGTTGGGTTGAGTTGTGATATGTGGTGTTGAGTTGTGATATGTTGTGTTGTGTTGTGATGTGTTGAGTTGGGCGTCTCTCACCAGTCTGTGTGCGGCTCGTCGATGACCAGCAGGACTTTGGGTTTGCGTTCGGCGGGTTTAGCGGCGTCTGCGTGCGCGGCGGAGGCTTTGGCCTGAACAGCGCTGGCGATCTGAGCCGTCTTCACCACGCTGGAGAAGGAGCTGAGGAAGCCCGCGGGGCCCGGGGCAGGGGCCGGGGCTGGGGCCGGCGGCGGGCGGCGCTCTGTGGCCGGAGATGCTGGAGAGCTGCTGGAGCTGGAAGGACGCTGCAGGTCCATCATGTAGCCGTTGGGCAGATTGGCTACAAAACTGCTGTCCGACAGACGCCTGCGCAGGTAATTCATGATGACTCGCCTGAGACACACACATTAACCTCAGTGAGTTTCATTCTTTACTGTTATTCATCTTCAGGACTTTTTCAGATTTTATTATTTTCAGCGAGTTTTATTTATTAATTTATTACATAATCCATACATTTTGTCAGATTTTATTAATTGATTCATTTCCACACATTTTGTCAGATTTTGTTAATTAATTTTCACACGTTTTGTCAGATTTTAATTAATTTCCACACATTTTGTCAGATTTTAATTAATTAATTTCCACACATTTTGTCAGATTTAATTCATAAATTTCCACACGTTTTGTCCGATTTTAATTCATTAATTTCCACACATTTTGTCAGATTTTAATTCATTAATTTCCACACATTTTGTCAGATTTTGTTAATTACTTAATTTCCACATATGTAGTCAGATTTTAATTAATTTCCACACATTTTGTCCGATTTTAATTAATTAATTTCCACACATTTTGTCAGATTTTGTTAATTACTTAATTTCCACATATGTAGTCAGATTTTAATTAATTTCCACACATTTTGTCCGATTTTAATTAATTAATTTCCACACATTTTGTCAGATTTTGTTAATTAATTAATTTCCACGACTTTTCCAGGTCTAGTAATCACATATTCTCTCATATATCCAGGTTTCCCAGAGACTGAATTCTGTTCTTCAATACAAGTTGAAGTTAAGGAAGCAAAATGAGAGAAGTACGAACGTCTTAATGAGCGCTGCAGTCATTAGAATAACGAGCGTTTGACTGCAGGGATCAACAGCCGACGCTAATGAAACATGTCCAACAACACAACAAAAGAGCGAAATAAACTCTAGTCTTACATAACGGATGTGAGACGACAGCGAGAGCGTTCAGTTCTAGAAGATCCGCAGATCTTAATTAGCAGCAGCAGTGTCATTAACACAGCAGTCGCCTAGCAACCGCTTCCGCTTGATCACATGACCTCTCAGAGATCAGAAGATGGAGATCATTAGCATCAGACGCATCACGGCTAATGAGCTACGCTAGCCTGCAGAACGCAAATCACAGATTCATGAACTCGACACAGAACTGAACAGAATACAAGAGAAATTCTACTTTAAAAATGGCACAATGGAATTGAATAGAAATTCAAATTGATGCAGAAAAGAAATGATCTAAGATTATCTAATATCAATAAACTCAAAATATGTAATAGAACTCAATAAAATATCAACTCAATAAAATATAGAATAGAATTTCACTAGAATAGTTATTGAAAACAACTGAACAGAATAAAATGGAAATTTAATTAATTAAAATAAATAGTTCTAGGAAAGAAATTAAACAATAAGAATTTATCTTTTATTTTATTTAATACTTCAATAGATTATAACAGACTAATCCAATAAAACAGATATACTAAATTATTATACTAATAAAAATGTTGTAGAAAAGAACAGAATAAAACAATTTTTGCAATTTTGTCTGTATCTCATTTATCTTATATTTTCTATAATAATGTATTGGAATATAAAGGGTTAATTCAATAAAATACAATAGAATTTCAGTAGAATAGTTATAGAATAAAACAGAATTTTTGCAAAATAATAAATTAAATCAAATACAAGATTGTCTGATATCATACTGTATAATTTAATAATGCAGTGGAATATTATAAATTCATTAATTCAATAAAACACAGAATAGAATTTCAGTAAAATAGTTATAGAATAAAACAGAATTTTTGCAAAATAATAAATTAAATCAAATACAAGATTATCTGATATCATACTGTATAATTTAATAATGCAGTGGAATATTATAAATTCATTAATTCAATAAAATAGTTAAAGAATTCAACAGAACAGAATCAAACAGAAATTCAATTAAAAATGGAAAATTGCAACAACAACAAAAAAAAGGAAAATTAAACAGAGGGTTAGGGTTAAATCAAGTCAGTGAATAAATAATTTAATAAAGTTTGAAGAAACACACACACACACACACACACACACACACACATATACACGCAGAGCACACTACTGTATGAAATATTGATAATTTGAGGAGACACACACACACACACACACACACACACACACACACACACACATATACACGCAGAGCACACTACTGTATGAAATATTGTCATATTGATTATATTATAAATATTATACATCGCCTACGCAATACGCAACGC